TAGCGTAGTGGTTACGAATCGGGCTTGTGAACCGCAAGGTCAGCAGTTTGAAACTACCAGTTGTTCTGCGGAAGAAAAATGAGGCTTTCTGCTCCCGTAAAGATTTACAGCCTCGGAAACCCTGTACGGGGTCACTATGAATCGGAACCGACTCCACGACACATAACAACAACAACAGAAATGAACTCAAAATGGGTCACGGACCTATATGTGTAAAACCTAAATCTATGAAATTTCTAGACACAGAAAATCTTTGTGACCTTGGGTTAAACAAAGGTTTCTTAAGATATAATGCCAAAAGTATAATCTATAAAAGAACACACTGATACAACTGAACTTCATCTAAACAGTAATAATAAAAAGAGAGCTTTTGTCCTTTGAAAGACAGAGGATGAAAAGATGGTTTACATAATGGGGAAAGTATCTGCAAACCACATATCTGTTAAAAAGCGTGTATTCAAAATATATAAAGAACAACCTAATTTTAAAATGGGGCAAAAATGTGAAAAGACATTCCATCAAATATGTGGGTGGCAAATAAGCAAATGAAAAGATACCCAACATCATTAGTCATTCCACCACTTGTCTGTCAGTTTGCCGTACTGTGGTGGTTTATGTGTTGCTGTGATACTGTAAGCTATGCCACCAGTATTTTAAACGCAAGCATGATCACCAATGGTGGGCAGTTTCAGCTGAGCTTCCAGACTATGACAGACCAGGAAGAAGGAGAGACGGACTATTTCTGAATGTTTAGACACTGAAAACCTTATGAATAGCAGGAGAACACTGTCAGATCACACCAGAATATTGAAACATTATGAAGAGCACCAGAATATTGTCAGATATTGTGCAGAAGATGAGTCCCTCAGGTTGGAAGGCACTCAGAATATGATAGGGGAGCAGCAGAACAAAGAGTCAGAGCACAAGGCAGAGCAGTGGGCTTTCCAGCCCAAAGAACAAGTGAAGATGAGTGACTTTGGGCAGGAGGCTTGCTTGCAAAATGGGTGCTTCCAAACACTTACCTTGGGGAGTTAGTTTTGCTGACCTATGGAGCTACAGGGGAGGGCTTTAGGCTGAGGCTTATGGTAGAGTGGTATGCCCTCTGATGATTTGATCAGCAGTCCTAAAAGAGCCTTGTAACAAGGCCCAAGCAAAGAGAAGCCTGTATGTGGGCATGACAGACGTGAGGTTGTCCTGACTGGAAGAACTGTGCTCTGAACATTGCTGACCCTGACTTGTAAACTGCTTTAACTTCTCTAATCAACCCAATAACTGAAAAAACAAAAACAAACACAAACAACTGGGGAAGAGCTGCCTCCTCAAAGTACAGCTGACTATGATGGCTCAAATAGAATAAAGCTATCAGGAATGTCGTTTGATGACGGGGCACAACTCAAAATGAGGAGAACCTTTTACAGTTGTAAAAGTCCATTAATAATCAGAACATGGAATGTATGACGTATAAATCTAGGAATATTGGAAGTTGTCAAAAATGAAATGGAATGCACAAAGATCAATATTCTAAGCATTGTTGTTGTTTTTAAGTGCTGTCGAGTCGGTTCCAACCCATAGCAACCCTGTATAGGTTTCCATGGAGCAGCTGGCAAGCTTGAATCACCAACCTTGTGGTTCAAACTGACTTTGCAGTCTAGAGCATTAACCCACAAGGCCACACCAGGACCCATTTCTAAGAAATAATGAGCTGAAAGGGACTGGTAGTGGTTCATTTCAGATAATCTGATAATCACATGGTTTACTACGCCGGGAATGACAAACTGAAGAGAAATGGTATAGCATTCATCATCAAAAAAACATTTAAAGATCTATCTTGAAGTATAATGCTGTCTGTAATAGGATAATATCCAAATGTGTACAGGCAACACCATTTTATACAACTATTATTCAAAATTACACACCAACCACTAAAGTCAGTGATGACGAAATTGAAGAATTCTACCAACTTCTTCAGTCTGAAATTGATCAAATATGCATTCAAGATGTATTGAAAATTACTGCTGATTGGAATGCAAAGACTGGAAACAAAGAGGAAGGATCAGTAGTTGGAAAATATAGCCTTAGCGAAAGAAACAATGCTGGAAATTATACGATAGAATTTTGCAAGACCAATGACTTCTTCATTGCAAATACCTCTTTTAAACAACATAAAAGATGACTATACACATGGACCTCACAAGAAATCAAATTGACTACATCTGTATAAAGAGACAGTGGAAAAGCTCCCTATCATCAGTCAAAACCAGGCCAGAGGAAGATTATGAAACAGATCATCGATTACTCAAGCACATGTTCAGGCTGGAGCTGATGAAAATTAAAACAAGTCCATAAGAGTCAAATTGTGACCTTGAATTTAGCAATCATCTCAAGAACAGATGTGATGCATAGACACTTATGATGGGAGACCAGAGAGTTGTGGGATGACATCAAGAACATCATAAAGGAAGAAAGGAAAAGGTTATTAAGAAAATAAGAACAAACAATAAGGCCTAAATAGATGTCAGAACATACTCTGAAACTTGCTCTTTAACTTAGAGATAGAAAAAAATGGAAAAATGAAGAGTATAAGTTCAAGAGTCAAGGGTACTGAAGGAAGAAGTCCAAGGTGCACTGAAGGCATTGGCAGAGAACAAGGCTCTGGGAACTGATGGAATACAACTTGAAATCTTTCAAATAACTGATGCAACACTGGAGGCACTCACTTATCTACGCCAAGAAATTTGGAAGACAGCTACCTGGCCAACTGGTTGGAAGAGATCCCTATTTGTACCAGTTCCAAAGAAAGATGATCCAGTGTAATGCAGAAATCATTGGACAATGCCATTAATAACACATGCAAGTAAAATTTTGTTGAAGATAATTCAAAAACAGATGCAACAGTACAATGACAGAGAACTGCCAGGTGTTCAAGCCGGATTCAGAAGAGGATGTGGAACGACATCAGATGAGTCTTGGATGAAAGCACAGATCCAAAAAATATGCTTACCTTTGCTTTACTGACTATGCAAAGGTTTTCATTTTTGTGGACCATGACAAGATATGAGTAACAATGCAAAGAATGGATATTCCAGAACACCTGTTTGTACTCATGAGGAACCTGTACGCAGATCAAGAGGCAGTTGTTGAAACAGAATTGCGGGACACTGAAGGCTTAAAATCAGGAAAGGTGGGCACCAGGGTTGTATTCTTTCATCATACTTATTCAACCTATGTATTGATTAAATAATCTGAGAAGCTGGATTATACAAAGAAGGATTAGCACCAAGATTGGAGGAAGACTCATTAACAATCTACGACAAGCAAAGAGGATTTAAAGTACTTACTGATGAAGATCAAAGATGGGTTGCACCTCAATGTAAAAAAGAAAAAAAAAAAATTATCACAACTGGATCAATACATAACATCATGATAAATGGAGGAAAGACTGAAGTTGTCAAATACTCTATTTTGCTTGGATCAAATGATGTATTACATTAAGGAACTATGATGCACAAGACCTCTTTAAAGTGTTCAAGACCTAAGATGTCAGTTTGAGGACTAAGATGTGCCTGATCCAAGCTATGGCATTTCCAATAGCCTCATATGCACATGGAAGTTAGACAATGAAGAAGGAAGACCATAGAATTGATGCATTTGAATTATGGTGCTGGAGAAGAATATTTCAAAAGTACCAATGACTGCCAGAAGAATCAATGAATCTGTGTTGCAAGAAGTACAGCTTGAATGCTCCTTAGTAACCAGGATGGTGTGACTTTGTCTCTTGTACTTAGGACATATTATCAGGAGGGGCCTGTCCCTGGAGAAGGATATCATGCTTGGGAAAGTGGAGGGTCAGCAAAAAATAGAAAGCCCCCCAACGAGATGGATTGGCACAGTGGTAGCAGCAATGGGCTCAAGCGTAACAACAATTGTGAGGTTGGCACAGGACTAAGCAGTGCTATGTCTGTTGTGCATAGGGACGTTATGAGCCAGAAATAACTCGAGGGCACCTAACAACAAAAACAATCATTAGTCATTAGAGAAACGCAAATTAAACACTAAGATAGCACTACACACCTAGCATAATAACTAAAAAGATAAAAGGACGTACCAAATGTTGGCAGCTTTAAAACAAACGAAATAAATATACAAATATCATATGATATAGACTTATTACTCAAGAGAAAAGGAAATACAGGGGCTTCAAAAACTCTTGGAAAAATGGCATTCAAAGATAATGAAATTTTTCCATGAACTTTTTGAGGCTCCCTTGTATATAGTCATGAAACATTTGTACAGAAATGTTCCTATCAGTTCTACTTGTAATTGTCATAGACAGGAAGAACACAATGTCCATTAATAGGTAAATGGACAAAACTGGTTGATGTTTACCATATAAAATAGGTTATTAGATGGCAATTAAAAGGAAGGAACTCTTGATATATTCTACATTATGGATAAAGCTCAGAATCATTATGCTGCGTGAAAGACGTCAGAAAAAGTGTACATACTCTGATTCCTTCTAAACAAAACTCTGGAAAATACAAACTAATTTATAGTGACAAAAAGCATGGAGAGCAGACAATGATGTGGGAGCAGTGGAAGGGATTACAAAGGGCCCTGATGATCCTTTCGAAGATGATGGATATACTTGCTCTCTTGATTGTGGTTTCAGAGGTGTAGACATAAACCAAAATTTATCGAATTATAGATACTAAACATGTACAGCTGATTGCATGCCAATTATATCACGTTAAAACCTATCAAACAAACCAAACCAAACAGAACTCAGCATTTTAGACGTGCTTCAGAAAAGACTGTAGTATTTACAAGTAAAAATGATTCAAAATCTGTCTTTCCTGATCTCAGACTACATGATCTCAAATGTCTGACTTGAAATTACCCAGAGCTAAGATTACAAGTCATTTTTAGTTTGTAAAATAATAGCACTGCAGTACGCTGATAACAAATCAAAGACATTGTCTTGCTTTTCAGTCTTTCTGTACCTTTGTCCAGTGATGATGGACGTCCATTGTTCCCAGCATCACATGACCCCCGGCACTCATCCCAGAACAGTCTGTAAATATTAGCGTGCATCCTGAGGATGACAGAACACAGACCCAATGGTTACTGTCCAGTGATGCTTCATTCTTTTTACAGTTGTGCAAATAACTTAAATTTAATGTATATCTTCAGTATTACATTCCCTAGAGGCTTAAAGATGAATTTCATGTCACTGTTATAGTCAAAATTTAAAAAAAAATTCAGTTGTGTTAAGGTCGCATTTGAGAAGACTTTTAACATTCAGGTTCCCCTACAATTTGCAGGTGACATTTATTTGAGAAGAATATTGGACAATGTTTACCTTTTGCAGTTTTAAGTGTTTCCACGTTCTGCTGTGCTAATCGGCCTAAACTATGCAGTTGGCTACAGCGATGGGCGATCCCCCAGCTCCTCTGCCACCTAGGCCAACAGAGCACACAGGCCATTAGCAGCCAGCCTCCCTGAAGGAGGAAGCAAGCATTCACCGAAAACCGCTCAATTCCTGTGAAAGGCAATGATTTGCTTTCTCAAGTAGGCACACAGAATGTTTTATATTGTCTAATGCTTTTCAAACTAGCTGAGTTTCCAAGAAGCAACCAAATGAAAAATGAATTGTCTACCAGAATATATGAAATACAGTATTACTTATGTTCAAGTATCCAGAGATTTTTTAACACACAAATACACTGCATTGTTTCTATTTTAAAATAATGGGATAAAATGGGAAACACTAAACCAAAAAAAAACAAAAAACTTTTTTTTCATTCACATTGTAAAATAACAAACATTTTGTCTTTAAGTTCCAATAAGGAATTCCAGTTAGACGTATCAAATTCTTTTTATCTTTTGCTAGATTTTTATGACAAAGAATTCTCCTTATTTTAAAAATCAGTATTAAATCTTAGCAACAAACTGCAACCTAGTGTTCACACAATGTCACAGAAGCATTGCTATGTAAATGTAAAGAGTATGATATTAAGTGGTCCAGAAAACCCATCTTGGATGGCCATTAAAGTGATAACTATTGATCTCTCCCATCTTGAGCAAAGAGGAGGGAAGAAAATCAAAGATGCAAGGAAACAATTATTCCAGGGGACTAATGGACCACATGAACTCTACCATCCACATCACCAAGGCCAGAAGAATTAGATGGTGTCTGGCTACAATTGTCATCCATTCAGAACAGAATTACACTAAGAAGTCCTGGATAGAGTGGGAGGAAAACGTGGAACAAAACTTAAAATCATAAAGTAGACCAGGCTTACTGGTCTGATGGTCCTCAGACAACCTTCAGGCTGAAACTGAACTCACTGCCACGGCTCAACTTTCAGCCAAGTGATAGATAAGCCTAGAAGGTGAACAATAATACCATGTAGATACGCATTCCAACAGAATTGGGAAACACAGAGAAGAAGTAGGAAAAGTGCTGTTACATCACAGGGACTGCAGTCAGTGTCACACCTCAAAATGTGTATGAATTCAACTGACCCATGAGATCCCCTCAGAAACTACTGTTTGGACTGGCCCATTGTTTGCAGGCACCCTAATGAGGCCAAGACAAGTGTTTTTCTGAGAGAACCTGTCTGCAGCCATCCACCCATCAAAGACAATGTCTAAACATGTTTTGTTTGAAATAAACTGTGCATACATAAACTGGAACCCTAACTGCAATATTTTTTGTCTTATTGTATATTTGAAAAGCATATATTTTTACTAAATTCATTATGCAGAAAAGTTAAACTATTATGTGAAAATGTCAGTATTTAAACATTTCAATATTTAAAACAAGAAATTGGTAAGTTTTCTTACATAGATGAACATTTTGACTCATGGGAAGATAACTAAAGAATATTTAATTATCAGAGTAATTAAAGATGAAAATATCTAGCAATTGGGAAGGTTTAACAATAGATAATTCATGTTTATTTTAATTTCTAAATTACATTCTTGCTATTACCTGATGTCTGAGAGCTGCAGTTGTTGAGATAACTCATCTTTGAGTCGCTCTAGTTCTTTTCTTAGCGGCAAACTATTCTTTAGCTTTTTAAGAGCACTTTTTTCATTACTATCTAACCAGGATCTAGAAAGAAAAAAAACAGATACATATATATATATACACAAGTATATATTTTCTAGTACTAATTATAATACCAGAATTTCTAGTATCAATTGACATATGCATTACCATGAAAACAGCCACATAGTAAAATTCCATTTTTAATCAAAGTTTCACCAAATTATAAATATATATAGCAAATCTATTCTTTTAGAGTAAATACCTATTCTTAAAATAGTTTGCTTGGAGAACTTCCAGAACCTACTAAATCATATTCCAATATGACAGCTTCTTTTACACATTAAAAAAAAATTAATCACACTAATCTATCACCAGGGAATGCAGTGGCTCTGTACCACAAGCACTGGACTGTGAACCACGAGGTCAGTGATTTGAGCCCACCTGTTGCTCCTTAGGAGAAAGATGAGGTTTTTTGCTCCTGCAAAGGTTTACAGCCTTGGAAACCCTATACAGGGTTGCTATAAGTCAGAACTGACTCTATGGCACTTAACAACAATACAATCTGTTGCTATATTTCTAGAGATAGGAATATATATACATACATAATGAATATATTAAAGATATCTCAAAACCTCTTAATTACAGGAAGACATGGAATATGTAACCAGTTGCCTTAATGAATAACTGTCCCCTTTGCCATGAGACAAAAAAAAAACTGGATGGTGCTCAGCCACCATTATTGAATGTTCTGATCATAGATGCCATAGAAGAATCCTGATCAAAATGAGGAGGAGAAGCAAAACAGAATTTCAAAATCTCATGGACTTCATTAATGTTGGATATACCTTTGCAACTGTTGCCCTCAAATAATCTGTCACATAAGTGATTTTAATTTTAGCTTAATTTATTATCATCATCTGGGCCCCTTATGTCAATGGAGAGAAGTCTATTCAACTATAATTCAAAAAAAGGAAACAGGCATCTCATATCTATTCTATAGTTGTTGTTGCTAAGTGCTGTTGAGTTGGTTCCAAATCACAGCGGCCCTGTATAGGGTTTCCAAGGACTGGCTGGTGAATTTGAACTGCCTTGCAGTTCAAACTGACCTTGAGGTAGAATGCTTATCCTATGGTGCCATTTAAGTATCAAATAATCCAGAGTACTTAAACAAGTCTGAACTTGTCAAGAAGTCTTGAACTATTCAAGAACTTACAGAAATGCTCATTTTATATACCCTAAAATGATCTGGAGATAAATATTAGTTATCACCGATTTGTTTTCTAAGAGTAATACAAGTTTTCTTTAACAGTTTTATGGGGACATACAACGTACCCTCTGAAAGTGTACAATTCAATGGTTTTCCATATGTCCACTGAATTGTGCAACTATTACCATAATGAATTTTATTACTCTTTCATCATCCTGAAAAGAAATATTATATTCATTAGCAGTCATTCCCCATTTCCTTGAATCCCCCAGGTAATCACTAATCTTTCTATCTCTATAGATCTTTTTCATTCTGGGCATTTCACAGAAATGGAGTCATACAATAGGTAGTCTTTTGTGACTGGGTCTTTTCACTTGCTGTTAGGTGCCATCAACTCATAGTGACCCCATGCACAACAGAATGAAACACTATCGAATCATGAGCCAACCTTACAATTGTTGTTACGTTTGAGCCTACTGATGCTGCCACTGTGCCAGTCCATCTTGTTGGGGGGTCTTCCTTTTTTTCTCTAACCCTCTACTTTACCATATACGATATCCTTCTCCAGTGACTGGTCCCTCCTGACAGTATGTCTGGAGTATGAAAGATGAAGTCTGATGATTCCGGCCTCAAAGGAGCATTTTGGCAGTATTTCTTCCAACACAGTTCTATTTGTTCTTTTGGCATTCTATGGTACTTACAATATTCTCTTCCAACACCATAACTCACATGCATATGAAGTTACTGAAAATACTATGACTTGTGTCAGGTGCACCTTAGTCCTCAAACTGTCATCTTTGCTCTCCAATACTTTAAAGAGGTCTTGTACAACAGATTTTTCCCAGTGCAATACATTGCTTGATTTTCTGACTACTGCTTCCATAAGTGTTAATGGTAGATCCAACTTCAATCTTTTCTCCATTTATCATGATGTTATTTATTGGTCCAGTGGTGAGGATTTCTGTTTTCTTTACATTGAGGTGCAACCCATATCGAAGGCTGTAGTCTTTGATCTTTATCAATAGGTATCTTAAGTCTTCTCTTTCAGCAAGCATGGTTATAACACCTGCATATCGCAGGTTGTTAATGAGTCTTCCTCCAATCTTGATGCCATGTTTTTCTTCATATAATCCAGCTTCACTGATTATTTTTTCAGCATACCGATTGAATAAATATGGTGAATGAGTACAACCCTGGCATACACCTTTCCTAATATAAAACCACTTGGTGTTTCCTTGTTCCGTTTGAACAACTGCGTCTTGGTCTATGTACAGGCTCCTAATAAGCACAATTAAGTGCTTTAGAATACTCATACTTTGCAATGTTGTCCATAGCTTGCCATGATCCACAGTATTGAAAGCCTTTGCATAGTCAATAAAGCACAGGTAAACATCTTTCTGGTATCCTCTGCTTTCAGCCAACATCCATCTGATGTCAGCAATGATATCCCTCATTCCGCATCCTCTTCTGAAACCAGCTTGAACCTCTGAAAGTTCTCTGTCAATATATGGTTGCAACCATTTTTGGATTACCTTTAGTAATACTTTACTCACATGTGGTATCAATAGCATTGACTGATGATTTTTGCATTGGGCCACCTCCCTTTGGAATGGGCACAAATACAGAATAGATTAGTACCTTGAGTGCCGCTTCACTTTGTTGAAAGATTTCAATTTGTATTCCATTAATTCCCAGTGCCTTGTTCTTTGCCTATGACTTCAATGCACCTTGGACTTCTACCTTCAGGATTATTGGCTCTTGATCATATGCTACCTCCTGAAATGGTTGAACACTGGCTATTTCCTTTTTGGTACAGTAACTCTGTGTATTCCTTCCATCTTCTTTTGATGCTTTCTTCATCATTAAGTATTTTGCCCATAGAATGCTTCAATACCGCAAGTCGAGGTTTGAATTTTTTTAGTTCCCTCAGCTTGAGAAATGCTGAGTGTGTTCTTCTTTCCTTTTGGTTTTTTAACTCCAGGTCACTTTGCACATTTTGTTATAATATTTCACTTTGTCTTCTCAAGGTGACCTTTGAAATTTTCTGTTCAGTTATTGTAGTTCCTCACTTCTTCCCTTTGCTTCAGCATCTCTATGCTTCAAAGCAAGTCTCAGGGTCTCTTCTGACATCCATTTTGGACTTTTCCTTTTCTCTTATCTTCTCAATGATCTTTTGCTTTCTTCCTGTCTGATGTTCTTGATGTCATCTCACAACTCTTCTAGTCTTTGATCTTCAGTGTCTAATGCATCACATCTGTTCTTCAGAAGATCTCTAGATTCAGGTGGGATATATTCAAGGTCCTATTTTGGCACTTATGGACTTATTTTCATTTTCTTCAGCTTCAGTTTGGTTTTGCATATGAGCCATTGATGGTCTGTTCTACAGTCTGCACCTGGCCTTGTTCTGGCTGATGATATGGAGCTTTTCCACTGTCTCTTTCCACAGTTGTAGTCAATTTGATTTCTGTGTATTCCATCTGGCAAGGTCTATGTGTATAGTAGTCTTTTGGTGGTGGTAGTGTGCAATGGAGTTGGTTCCGATTCATAGCGACCATGTTTAGGGTTTCCGAGGCTGTAAATCTTTACGGGAGCAGAAAGCCTCATCTTTCTCCTGGGGAATGGCTGGTAGTTTCAAATTGCTGACCTTGAGGTTAGCAGCACAATTTATAACCACTATGCTACCAGAGTCATCTTTTATGTTGTTTAAAAAAGATATTTGCAATGAAGAATTCATTGGCCTTTCAAAATTCTATCATGGGATCTCCAGCATCGTTTCTATCACCAAGGCTGGTATTTTCCAACTACTAATCCTTCCTCTTGGTTTCCAACCTTTGCATTCCAATTGCCAGTAATGATCAATACAGCTTGACTGCATGCTTGGTAAATTTCAAACTGATGAAGATGGTAGTATTCTTCAATTCATCATCACTGGCTTTAGTGGTTGGTGCATAAATTTGAATTAATAGTGGTATTAACTGGTCTTCCTTGTAGGAGGATGGATATTAACCTGTCACACACAGCGCTATACCTCATGATTGCTCTTGGTCTGTTCTTTTTAATGATAAATGGAACGCCATTCCACTTCAATTTGTCATTTGAAGCATAGTAAATCATGTGATTATCAGATTCAAAACGGCCAATACCACCAGTCCATTTCAACTCACTAATGCCAATGTTTATATACTCCATTTCATTTTTGACAATTTCCAATTTTCCTAGATTCATACTTCGTACATTCCATGTTCCAATTATTAATGGATTTTTACAGCTGTTTTTCTTCATTTCGAATTGTGCCCAATCAGCAAATGATGGTCCTAAGGGCTTTACTCCATTTGTGCCATCACGATGAACTCTACTTTGAGGAGGTAGTTCTCCCACATTAGTATTCTGAGCACCTTCCAACCTGAGGGGCTCATCTTATGGCATTTTATCTGACAATATTCTGGTGCTCCTCATCATGTTTCAATATTCAATAATCTGGTGCTGACAGTGTTCCACTGCTATTCATAAGGTTTTCAATGACTAAATATTTGGAAGCAGTTTGTCTTTCCTACTTCCTAGTCTGTCTTCTTCTGGAAGCTCATCAAAATCTGTCCACCGTGGCTGACCCTGCTGGTTTAAAATACTGGTGGCATATCTTCCAGAATCACAGCAACATACAAGCCATCACAGTACGACAAGCTGACAGATGAGTGATGGTCTTTTCACTTAACATGATGTTTTCCAGCTTCATCCACATTGTACCATGTATCAGAGCGGCATTTCTTTTTATGCCTAAACACTGCTATCAGTTAATAAACACTTGGGTTATTTCCACTTTTGAGCTATTATGAATAATGCTGTTATGAACAAGTTTTTGTGTGGTTGCTTATTTTCATTTTGCTCAGACAATGGTATCCCCTGCTACCCAAAGGTAGAGCATGCCTATGTAAACTGAAATGAAGTATAACAAATTAACAAAGAGCATTCATTTATATACGGAAAAAATTTGAGTATTCTCACAATCAAAAAATAACCTATCAAATCATACCAAATAACACACAAATACCTAAAATCACACTAATATACAGTGTTCACCGATATGATTTAGAGTTGTGGTAGTTATGATGCGCTGAATATAGTATCTGGTGACCCCACTCTCGCTGCTAGAGTGTGCACTCTCTCCTTAAAAGCTCGATGCAAAACCAATGCTGAATGCTACTTTCACCTTGTGCCTTTTTATCATAAAAGTGAAAATCATCTTTGGAATTCTTTCGGTTAGCAAAAACAAGTACTAATGGAGTTCTTTTGTAAAAGCCAAGCGGCATAATAAAGCGAACTTTAAAAAAAAAAGGGGATTATCTTTATATACCTGGGAGTGGAAGTGCAAAATCATATGACTTAGCATTTTGAGGAACTGTTCAACTGTGTGGTCATAACATTTTATATTCCCATCAGCAATATATGAGGGTTCCAATTTCTCCTCATCCTGGACAACATTTGTTACGTTTTGTCTCTTTAATTATTATCATTCTAGTGGGTCTACTTCCATAAAACTTGTTGTCGTTGTTAAGTGTTGTTGAGTCGGTTCTGACTCATAGTGACCCTGTATAGGGTTTCTAAGGAGCAACTGGTGAGCTTGAAACACTGACTTTGCAGTTCAAACCGACTTTGCAGTCCAGCACATTAACCCACCAGTACCACACCAGGACTCCATAAAACTTACAGCTATTCAAACCCTATGTAGCAAGGTTGCTCTGTCACACATGGGATCTCTATGAGATAGAAATGACATGATGGCAACAGATAGCAGTGTGAAGTAGTATCTCACTGGGGTTAATTAATTTTTTTTAGATCTTACCCTGGTTCAAGAATGATTTCATAATACTTACAAAAGTATATACAAAGTATTGAATGTACTGCTAAAAAATCTAGACAACAGAGAAGAAAGTAGGGAAGATGAAGCCAAAGACAAGCAGTGTCTAAAAATGACTTCTGGATCATCATGTAGGGATTAAAATTGACATGCAAATTAAAAACATTTGGTTATAATTTCTAAGGTCATAATGTTTCTGACTGAAAAATATAGTAACACAAGAGAAATTCAGTTTTTCATTAGTTTAAGAGGATGAAAAGGGAGTCATGATCCAAACTGCAAAAAATTAAAACAGCATATATTATTCCCAACTTTCAGATCAAACTAAAGTGTAGCAGTTAGACCAATAGCCTTTCGAGTATCTTTGATGGCAATCATGGTAAGAAATATTTTATCCAGTACACACACGTATGTGTTTGTGTTTAACTAAAACTAGTATTTTAAGAACTAATATTTAAACTTACTACCAGAAAAACAATTCCAAAATAATCCTGCTTCATTTTTGAAAAAAAAAAAGAATCAAAACAAAAGGCTGGTCCTGAATACAAATGTGTGTGTTACGATTTGGAGTCTGAAAAACACTGATTTAACAAACAAACCAGAAAAGGAGTAAATAAACCTATAAAATGAGTTAGAGCTGACCATCACATTCCTCAGAAGTCTATAGGAATAATTTCAATGCTGTAGTTGTCCAACATGGTATTTTGTAGCCACTGAGTCTGATTCAGAGTCCTGGTGTGGCACTGTAGGGTAAGTAAGCACTGATTGCTAACAAGGATGGCAGTTCAAATGCAGCAGTTGCTGCTCAGAAACCCTATACAGGGCTGCCAAGAGTTGGAACTGACTGGATGGTACTTTACAACAACATAGGTTAAATTGGGGTCTTGCTGTGGAGCTGTAGGATAAGCACTGGACTGCTAGCCACAAGGTGTACTGTTTAAACCCACCCGTCACTTCTTGGAAACCCTATACAGGGTTGCTAAGAGTCGGAACCAACTCTTAACAACAAATTTTTTTATTAAAGAAAGAGGAATTTCATCAGGTGAACAACATACCAATAAATACTCAGTTTGGACAAGGAACCCCAGTAAGTACCGCTTATTTTGTTGAATTGACTTCTTATAGCTTTAATTCCTTTTCCAGCATTTTAACTCCTAGTTCTGGGTCCTTGGTACAAGTTTTTTTTGGTAATGGCTATACATCCAGCTCCTAGTAAAACTGCACTCTCCAGTCAATGGAATGACCAACTGATGATTCTCTGAAGTTCTTTAACATTATTCTAAAACTCCTTGGCTTCAGTCAAGGCCCAGCAGCACTCCGTTTTGCTTTCTGGTCTTCATTTAACCTTGTTTCTTTTGTACACCCTTTAGGACAGGTAATCCCAATTTTTGTTCACTTAGACACACAGACAAATAGAGCAATATTCTCCTACTAGTGTAAGCAGATGTTTCATGGGCTGAATCCCAGGGGCTACAAGGATGAGAACCTGTCTTCTAGAGCATGCTTCCAGCAATCCACTCTAACTCCCACCGTAATCTGTGTGTAATTTACCTCACATCAGTACCCCAGCTTTCTAAACCCGCTTTTGAATGAAACTGTCCATTTGTTACTCTTACTTCTTATTGCTGCATTACTTCTGGTCTATCATTAAATGATAGTTTCCCAAGGCCATAAATTCATTTCAGTTATTTTTACAGAGCAGAATCTGAATAAATAAATCTACATATTTAGGGAAGTGATTTACCCATCAGTTACAAATACAGTTTTATATATCATAGATTATCACCACAGATATATACATGCAGATACATACATGCCTTCAGACACAGACGTGTCTCCCTTTCTGCACAGCACTAGGCCACCGTCCTGTCTCTCGAGGCTTATTTGGGATCTAGCTAGATAACACAGGGAGAAATTCCTGAGCTAGTATAGACAATCCACACAGCTGACCCTCTGCCAGTGGATAATTTGTATGCTGTAATGAGTGAGAGTATTTTGATAAGACACTGGAATCCTCAGATTTCAGAACAGAATGGTCTTTGTGGAGACCAAAAATGACTTACTTGAAACACTATTAAAAATACCTTACCAAAGCATACCAAATGACAGAAGAAAAATACTTTGTGTTTGGTTTTTATAAGGAAAAAGGATTCCTTCTTAATAGTCTGTTCTAGACGGAATTTTAAACAGTTGTCTCCATGTATGTTTTTTACATACAGGTTAGTTTCCTAGTATCTATTACTACTGAGCTTTCTGAAGAAATAAGGGCATGCCTAATACATAAATAAGTATAAAATGTTTTTATAGTCTTAGGTACAGCTTTTCTCCATATAGCAGCAATAAAACCAGAATCAAAACCAAGCCAAAAATATCCTGTATGTGTCTGGTATTGTAAGATCGAAAGTTAAATACATGTGGAATTATTCTAGTAAAATTAAAGTAAGAAAGATAAAATATTTTTTCCATAATGGTTACTGGATTAACTATATTGACAGGATTGATTTTTCTAGAAAACTCGACTTTAAATTTAAACCTGAACTACAAATACCAGTTAAATAAAAACTTTCACATACATAAGGGTTGTTTCCATTTTCGAAACGTGCTCAAGTTCTTCGTTAGGGTCCTTGAATCCCGTAAAGGAGTAGTAAGACTTGTCCCATTTGATGGGCCTGTCAGGCATCCTTTTAGCTTTCTTGAGAGGTTGAACATGCACATGAGTATTCAAGCTCTGGAGGTGTTCAGTAGATAAACTGCAGGAGTTGAGAATATCTAATACTGTGCTTTGTAGATCTCTGGTGTGCAAAGTAAATTTGACAGCTCGAAATCCTAGAGAATATAATTTCCCCAATTAATACAGATGATTATTTATTTTACGTTAAAATCAGCCTTTCATCCACACTGATAAAATCAAAGTCTTTAAAAACATCCCATCACTGATTTAATTCATATTACTTTCAATTCATCTATAAATGGAAAACGACTCCCCTCAAACTAAACTAGATTGTTTTTATCCTCACGAATTCCCCTACCCTTCAATTCCCTTTTCTATTTTGGCACCTGGGACTAAACCCATCCTATCCCACGAAGGAGATTCAGAATATTTTTGATTCTGCACATAAATGTGGTCTCCATGTCTAAGAAATAGGATAGTGTTTCTATAAGCTAAAATGACAGTTTCTAGGACTAAATTTTAAGAGGAAGGAGACAGACACTCAGCATTATCACAGTAAGGTCTAGAGGTCACAGAAGTCCATCTCAATTTTTTTTTTGATGACTGCAAGAGATTATTGTCCACATACTCGCCTGCCCAACCAGCCAGGGGCTGAATATTTTCAGGAGTGATTTAAAAGTTGCTAAGGTGTGGCATTGTGGGATACAGCACTGGACCACAAGTCCTGGTGTGGTGCTGTGGTGCTGAAAGCAGGGTACACCCATAGTGGATAGGTTTCAGCTAAGTCTCCACACTAAGACAGACTAAGTAGGAGAGGGGGACTACTTCTGAATGTTTAGCCACTTTGGAATAGCAGTGGAACACTGGTAGACAGCATCAGAATACTGAATACTGAAACATGATGAAGAACACTAGAATACTGTAATCTTAACAGCAATTCTGAGGATGGCGCAGGACCGGGCAGTGTTTCATTCTGTTGTGCATAAGGTCACTATAAGTTGGAATAGACTCGCTGGCACCTAACAACAATAATTAAAAGAGTCCTGGCGTGGTGCTGTAGGATAAGCACTGGCCTGCTAACCACAAGGTTGGCAGTTCAAACCTACCAGTCGCTCCTTGGAAATTCAATACAGGGCCACGATAAGTCAAAACTAACTCAATGGCAATTTACAACAACCATTTTTTAAAAGCTCGTATTTCACAATCGAATTTTAATACTAGGTGGTCATTTGGCTGAGACTAGCAATTTAACTTGTTCATTCAACTGCAGGAAAGCCACTGTTTCCCCTCCCCACAGGGTATTGTTAGGCATGGTTCTCAGGGTTTTATAACTTGTGAGTCAAATTCTCACCCATTCTGCCATTATTCTCTCTCCTTTCAAATGTGAAGACTGGAGCCAGGGCTTATATCTGAGTGACACAAAGTGTCAGCTTATAACTGAACAGTCACCAAGACAAGTACAAAGTCTGCTTTACTAGACATAAGCTTTACAAACAGTTAGGTACATAACCTAGACTTGCCTCTTCTAAACCATCTAATATGGTAGCTAAGAGTCACATACGGCTATTAAAGCTTACAATTTAAATTTCAGTTCCTTGGCCACACCAGACACACTGTGTATACAACATGTGGCAGTGGCTACTGTTTTATACAGCAGAGATGTCGAACACTGTCATCACTGTAGAAGACTCTTTTGGACAGCACTGCTCTTGACCTTTTCTATATGCTCACGTGTACGCATGTTATATACGACATACAGGTGATATAAGGGTCCTGGTAGTCTTAGTGGGTTATGCATTGGGCTGCTAACTACAAGGTCAGCAGTTCAAATCCACCAGTCACTCCTTGGGAGAAAGATGAGGCTTTTGGCTCCCATAAAGATTTATAGCCTCGGAAACCCTATACAGTTGGAAACAACTCAACAGCACTTAACAACACACGTGTGAAACGGACACAGAAACACACACCCATAGTGTGAATTATTTCTTCTGGGCATAAATGGTATCATTATGGATATGTTATTTTGGATTTGCTTTTCTCACTAACCTTGGTTGATTGACTTCCATATCTGTATGTACAGATCTACCTCATTTTTTAGTAACTATGTAGGAGTCTTGGTGTGGTGCTGCAGGGTAATGCACTGGACCACAAGATCAGTTGAATCGCAAGGTCAGCAATTCAAATCTACTAGTCGCTTCTTGGAAACACTATACAGGGTTGCTATGGGTCAGAACTGACTTGACAGCACTTAAAAACAACATATACTAGTCCATATATGAATGTAGGAGCTCTGGTAGCGTAGTGGTTACGTATCGGGCTGCGAACCGCAAGGTCAGCAGTTCGAACTACTAGTTGTTCCGCGGAAGAAAGCTGAGGTGTTCTGCTCCCATAAAGATTTACAGTCTCGGAAACCCTGTACAGGGTCGCTATGAGTCGGAACCGACTCCACGGCACACAGCCACATATGAATGTGGCATATTTTACATAACACTTCTGATATTGGGGGACATATAAAAATTATTTTCACTATCCCATTCAAGGATGAAATGTATTTTCTTGTCTTTGTCACTGACAGCAGAGGTTGCCCATAAATGCCACACAAGATTTATAGGCTCCAGAACATGCAATCTAATGAAGAGTTGTTATGTGAATCACTTGATGGTAAAGTGTGAACTTCTAGTCAGTGAAGAGGATAAGGAAAACCCAGCAAAAGGAAAGGAAAGCCCAGATTCCTAACCTGGGAGGTAAGGAAGAAATAGCTTATCCTTAGAATAGCCAAGTTCAGGAATAAATCTCAGTCTCTATCTCCATTTCTCAATTCCATCAATCATGTAACCTAAGTGATGGCTGCCATCTGTTCCATACCACTCTGCTCGTGCCCTTCATTAGTTTCTCAGGATACATTCTGAGAAAAACTTCTGGGTCAGAAGGTGCTTTGGAGGTACTGGGCAAATAATTCCAAGCTGCCCTCTAGAAAGTATGTCTGCGATTATACTCTCACCAGTAATGGATGACAATGCAGCCTTACCATCTATGTGCAGTATCAGTAAACAAGAAAAAAATTCATACCTATTTCAGTTTGCATTTGATTATAGAAGCATTAACATGTTTATTGGCCATAGGTATGCTTTGTTTCCTGAACTGCTTACTCTTTGCTTTTGCCCATTTTTTAATGTAAATATTTTCTTTTTAATGTCTTATAGCCCTTGATATAGCAACATTATATATTGTTATATATGCTGTATATTTTCTCCAATATCTAATTCATTAATTTTTTTTTATAACCTATCTTTGTTTAATGAATGATTGGCTCAAAGTTCACATTAACTGGAAGTACAGGTTTTCTGTCTTTGCTCAACAGAGTGCATTAGAGTTATTTTACCATTAAGTCACAGAAATCTCTTAGTGAATCTTCAACTTTTACAAGAAGTGATAAGGATGAGTATTTTCCCAATGGCCAGCAAAAGAATGTGTAGCAAAAGAAATTATTTCAGCCTTTATGGATTTCAATGTATTAATAATGCAAAATGGTCCATGAAACCTTAGCAATGAAAACGACTAGAAAACATTTTCTCTCACTACCAGCTTAATTATCAATGAAAAAGTGATTAATGATTTCCAGTAGTCTAAAAATAAAACACTTGATCTTAGCGTGGTCCTGATCATACATTTAGTAACATCTGGAAATAAATTGATAAACCGGGCAACATGTAACAACTGAGTCCTTTCTAATCACAATATTTGTCTTAGAGTCACACTGGCAGCATCATCTTTGTTAATTTTGGTGACTATTAACTATTCTAAGGAGCCTGGTGGCATTCTTTATCATGTTATTCTAGCAGAATACAATAAATTGTACAGAATTCAAACAAAAACAAGCAAGCAAGCAAAAAAAACCCTACAACCAAAAAAACCACTTTATCTTAATTTTATAATCAGAAATAAATGGCAAATACACATATTTTAAATTTGTTGGATTTCCAACCTTTGTCATAAAGGCAGAGGCAGAAATGATTTAAAATGCAGTACATAAGTCAAAACATGAGGCTACACTAGGAGACATTTCTTCTAGTGCTTTCTTTTTCGGTAATTGCTTTTGAAACTTCCTAAGTTTCCCTCTAAGATTTCAAAATGCAATGTGATCTTTAATTTCATGAATATTCAGTATTAAAATTAAATGCAGTTGATGATGGTAGTACACATAATAGTTGTAACTATAGAAATGAGCTTAGCTCTCCCAATCACAGAAAAATAAAAACAGACTGGTGATAGTATTTCCATTAAAAATACTGTAAAGGCTGTTATCTGCCTGTATAAATTTCATCAGTTATCCTGGAGAAAACATGACACCCAAGTAGACCACTATGCATTAGTATGCTTTTTCTTCAACACCTAGTCTAATCTAGACCCAGTATATTAAGAACATGTATCCCTGTAAAACAACTATAACTATTTGTGCTACACTAGCAGAGAATTTACCTCAGTTTCTTAGGGGACTCCCGTGGTTTAGAACAGAATATTCATAATGGATTAAACAGTGATTATTTACATATTATGTAGTCCTGCTATGGCACTGTAGGATAAGCACTTGACAGCAAGGTTGGTTTGAACTGCAAGGTCAGCAGCTCAAACTCACCAGCTGCTCCTTGGAAACCCTATATAGGGTTGCTGTGAGTTGGAACCAACTTGACCACACTTAACAACAAGTTACATATTACAGTGCTTAAACTGAACTGCTATCTAGAGTAATAAAAAACATAATTTAAATATCCTTAATAAAAGGAGTATGAGTTGACTTTCTGAATAAAGAATTGTTGTTGTTGAGTGCTGTAGACTCGGTTCTGATTCACAACGACCCTGTGTAAGGTTTCCAAGGAGCAGCTGGTGAGCTTGAATCGCTGACCATGTGGTTCAAATCAACTTTGCAGCCCAGCTCATTAATCCACAAAACTCCAAATCTTAAGTAGGTGGAGAGACAACTAAGGAATAGAATCTGTGATTCCTGACCTCTCATGTTATGGGAAAATTAAGAGAAAATAAAGAGACGACAGGAGAAATAAACTAGCAAAAGTGAGTCCTGGAGGCTCTGGGATACAGGGATTGAGGCATGGTTTGAATGGGTAAAAGACGGGAAATAATGTTAAGATGCTTGGCTGTCTTTTGAATCTTGGTTTCCCTTGTCTACTATTGTAAAGTAGACACTTGATGGAGAGAGAAAGGAATAGCCAGAAACAGCACCACAGAAAGTTTATGTAAGTCTATCTTCAGCCTATAACTGATTGGAACACCTAAAATGGGGCTAGAACTTGCCCAGTGAAGGAGGCTTCCTACGGAGCCCTAGCATTGCATAAGATCATAGGTGGAATCTGGATCCCCATCCAGAATCTTCTGAGGTAGGAAATTTCCACTTGAAAGGACAAGCAGACCAGCCTGGAGTGGCTAGAAGAATAGAAGATACTTCTTGAGAGAAAGACCAGTAGGAAAAATCAAAAACAGTAACAGCAGTCTGAATGACTACTACAAGAACAAGCAAGATGTTCACCCAGGAGCCATCAAGGCAAGCGGTCAGGTCCCCTCAGGGCAAACTCCTTCAAAGACTGAGACTCAAGGGGAATACGTGAGCAGGCATGTGGTCTTGCTGGTGACCGTGTTGGTCTACCAAAAAAGGGAAGTGGGGTAAAAACAGCAAAGAAGTTGTGAGCTAAGTCCGATTATGTTCAACAGATTCCTGTCAACCTGAATCGAGACCTGATTGGCCAGCAGTATGGTGAGACCTGAGGACTCTTGGGTCCAGGGACAGGGACAAGGCCACAGAGGACTAGAGCGGAGAGGGAAGTGTCCAGCTGGTATGAAGTTAGGGGAGATAAACAAGGAACACCGTACTTGCAGATAGTACCCACTTGACCTGGCTTCAATGGCTGGATGATCAAAACTTGACTAGAGGAAGAAAGAAGACGAAAAAAAAAGAGTAATTCACTACAATTTGACGAACTTGACCTATACTTATGGATGCAATAGCTCAAAAGAGGGAATGAATCTTCACAGCAAGGATCATTACAGCCACCCCCTTGGTATACAGGGTTGACAGGGATGGGCAACTTAGACACTGGCTACACAAAATGGGGGGAAGGCCCTACAAAAGGCATGAAGTGACTGGCTTACAAGATTTCCAGAGAGAGCCTAGTTTCAGAGGGTGCAGGGGAAGACAGAATCTCCACTAAGTGGTTTCCAACCTGTCTGGACGGGGCTGGTTAAAGGAGATGGGGATAAGATACTTGTGGTTCAATAGTGAATAATTGCTATCAGGACTGATTGTGAGTGTTACAAATGTAAAGGTAAATGTTTTGTAACAAAAGGAAGGGAGTGGTTGATCTTGCAGTCCAGGAGCAGAGGACTCTGGGACCATCAAGGGAAAAGAGTGAATGAAGCAGTGAAGTCGGAGATGGAGGCAGAGACAATGATGTGGAGAGATGGAGCAACTGGGGACTCTAGACTCAGGGAGGGAGAGGGGCTGTATGCTGACAGCCAGGGGGCAGGCTTGCAGGATGTATCCTTTGATTGCTTGATGATGCATGGAGGGGACTGTAATCATTGCAATGAAATGAAATATGATAGCAGGAATGTAAAGCTGATGTTCTCCTATGTAAACGTTCACTCAATTCACAATAAAAACGTAAAAAAAAAAAAAAAGTGAGTTCCTGGAGAGAGAGAGTGGGAAGTTCTTTTCACTACAACAACCCCATTAGTTGTAAACACCTATGGTGTGAGTGGACTCTACCCAATACTCAAACTCTTTAATTTTAACATATAAACCAGAAGTGAAGTTAAAGTCATTCAGCAAGTCAGTGGCAGAATTAGAATTAAAAGGTCTATCAAATTTTGAGCTCTAGTTTTTGAAAAAACAGTAGTGCATTTTTCTACTTGTTCTAGCATTAACTCACAGAAAGCTTTTTAAAAATCTTTAAATTGTTTTAAAGTTCATTTTAAAAATAAAGTTATTTCCTTAAGGATCATCAAAAGGATGTATGCCTGAAGAAATGACAAGATTTTAAAGATCTTTACTTGAATACATGGCCTTTATTTTCAGTATCATTGGATCATGGCTATTGTTGTTAAGTGCTGCTAAGCTGATTCCAACTCATTGCGACCCTGTATAGGGTTTCTGAGACTTTTAAAAATCTTTCTGGGAGCAGAAAGTCTCATCTTTCTCCTGCAGAGCGGCTGGTGGGATCAAACTGCTGACCTCATTGTGGTTCACAGTTCAGTGCTTATCATATGAAGATAAGCAGGGACAAATGACACTGAAAAGAGTTGTACACTAAGACTGACTAGACTTTAGAAGAAGCATACATCTGGAGTCAAAAGACTTGGTTTCAGCACCCATATTCTACCTTCTAACACAGAACAAATACAACCTACCTCATAGGGTACTCTGAGCACTCAAACAATACTGTAAGCTGTGTTTTTTAGAACGGTAAGTTGTTAAATACATGTCTGTATAACACTTAAAACTAAGTAGCAATAGGAAGGGGTCAAATAAGAGCATCTTCAGGTATATATATATAAAAAGTTTAACCACACAAAAAATGGATTGCTCAAACACATGCAATCAGGAATAGACCTAATTCTAGGAAAACAATCAGTTAAATGAAATGATATTACTTTTCTATGACTAAGATTTCAATCCAAAGGCTTGTGTGGTATTATCAAATTAATGAATATATTCAACATAAAATTTGCAAGGAAAACACTAGAAATAAAATAACGTACCGGAAGTACTAAAGGGCTCCTGGCCATCAGAAGAATTCTGTTCTGTTACTCTGACATAAAATGTAAGCTGAGTTGGTTTCAAAGACTTGAAGTCTGGTTTCTGGAGGTTTTCTAAGTAGACACTTAATCTCTTAAGAGAATTTTCATTGACTTCCTGGAAAAAAAATATTACGGTGCATTTACACACAAAATAGAAAAATATGAAGACATTAGAAATTATACCTAAACTCTTGAACACATTATTGAAAGTATTAAATAATTAAGTATTAAATCCCTACAAAAATGTAGGGATTTCATACCTTTTTGGAAAAAGATAAGATTGGATTTATACCTCACAATACTTAACACAGTGAATTCAAAATGGATGTCTAAACATAAAAGAATGGAACCAGACAAGTACATGAAGAAAACATGATTAAATTCCTTTATAAACTAGTGTGGAAAAACTTTAACTGTGACTAAAAATCCCAAAATAATACATGAATGATAAACTCAATGACATAAAAAAGAATTAAACTTCTACACAGCAAAAACACAATAAGCAAAATTAAAAAAATAAATAATCAAATGGGAGAATCAACGAGTGTTTGCAACTTATTTCACAGCAACAGGCTAATCTCCCCAACAATTCCTCACCTCACCATCATCTATCATCGATTCCAAGTCATAAGGACACTTAAACAGGGATTCTAAGACTGTAAATCTTTATGGGAGCAAATCTATGCTCTAAGGAGGGACTGGTAGGTTTGAACTGCCTATCTTATAGTTAGCAGCCAACACTTAACCCACAGTGCCACCAAAACTCCTCCCCTTATACTGTTGCTGTTGTAAAGTGCTGTAGAGTTGGCTCTGATTCATGGTGACCCTGTAGAGGGTTTCTGAGGAGTGGCTGGTGGGTATGAACCACTGACCTTGTGGTCAATATTCTAGTACTTACCCTATAGTACCATACCAGGACTCGTTATATAGGAAGTTCTTAAAATTCTCACCCATAGGACATTGGCTGAATATTAAAATGAAATGCACAAAGATCTGGAGTTAGAAAACCAAAAGAGAAGAACATACGTGACATTTCTTAAGCGGAAAGAACTAAAGAAAAATTCAAGCCTTGAGTTGCAATATTGAAGGATTCTATGGCCAAACACTGAACAACAAGGAAGCATTCAAAGAAGACGGAAGGAATATACAGAGTCCCTGTTATCCAAAAGAATTGGTTGATGTTCAACCATTTCAGGAAGAAGCATATGATCAAGAATGGATGGCACTGAAGGAAAAGGTCCAAACTGTAAAATAGGCCCTGGTAAAAAACAAGGTTCCAGGAATTGACAGAACACTAATTGAAATATTTCACCAAACTGATGCAGTACTGGAAGCACTCACTAATCTATGCTGAGAAACTTGGAAGACAGCTACCTGATCCGTTGCGGACCGTGTAAGACTGGTGAGAGGTTCGAGGCCCTATGGGCCCGAGTGTAACAAATGAGGCCACTGGCAGTTAATGGCAAATTGCTTTCATCTTAATATTCAGTTATATATATTAAATTAATACATGGAGCCTTTGAAAATCCACAGATAAATGTGATAATTTTCCTAAAGCTGAGACTAAAGGTTGCAAGGTTAAACCTTTCTCCAAAGGATTAACTAAAAATATCTTAGCTACTTCTCGGTTCTTTGTTCTATAGACAAAGAACCCATCCTCCCTAATCCCTTTTCCAGGTGCAGCCCATTCACCTGGGAGTCTCCTGCAGAACTCTCACCTTCCCTCAACTGACCTCAGGGGCTATAGATATGTTAATTGGGCCTGAGAATCCAAGTTGCTGGCCTGGGATTCGAACCAGCGAAGTACAATGTAAAGTTACCTGAATGTCTGGAAAATTACTGATGTTAGCTGTATCCTGTTTCAGTCCCTCCCAGCTTGGTGTGAAACTCCTCCCCTAAATAAAGCAGAGGCCCGGGCCTCCCCAGGTGTGCATTACTGGTTGGAAGGCATGGAGTAAAGATTGCGGTGCATTACTGGTTGGAAGGCATGGAGTAAAGATTGCGGTGCATTACAGGTTGGAAGGCATGCAGTAAAGATTGCAGGGCAGTGAGTTGCCCTGCAGAGGCCACGATGCCTGTACTTCCAAGTCTGCCCACCAGTGATGTATCCACCCTGGCTTTGGGGTGCCTCATTGTCTCCCTTCTTCTGTTTGTCTGTGTATTCTTTCGCTATCCCTATCGCCACTGGATCTCCCCTCCTCGTGAACCAAACACTCGTGACAACTATGTCGAGGGAAAACCCCGACACTGATCAACTAACTGGAAGGTGTGCTCATTCCAAAGAAAGGTGATCCCACAGAAGGCAGAAGTTATTAAACAGTATTGTTAGTATCATATACAAATAACATTTTGCTGAAATTCATTCATAACACTTGCAGCAGTACATCAACAGGGAGTTGCTAGAAATTCTTTCCAAATCTCACATTTAGTCTCAAAACTGGCCCAGAAAACATTATCACTAATAATTGCTTTTTAAACAAATGAGAGCTTTCATAGGAAGTAAGTGTGATCTTTTCCATTTTCAGCATCTCTACATTTCAAATTAGTTCAAAGCCATGGTGATGTCACCATGAATAATGCAAATTTACTGAACTCTGTATCACATTGCATCAATGGTAAATGAACAAAATAAAGACAAACACAGACTTACAAAAAAAAGAATAAATATTTACCCTTTCTCGGGGGTGTTGTCCAAAGAAATCTGGATGCACTGCAAAATAGAAAGGCCTCAAGGCATTGACCGCTTCAGCTCCTGATAAAGATCTTGAGTAAAGAAACCAGTGTGGAAATGTCTTCTGTAGACATAACCTTTAAAAAAATAATAACTTTATTTTTCACTGAGGTGCACATGTATGTGCAGGCACACACATCTGTAGTGTATGTTGTTGTTGTTGTTAAGTACTGTGGAGTTGGTTCCGACTCATAGTGACCCTGCACAGGGTTTCCGAGGCTGTAAATCTTTATGGGAGCAGAATGCCTCATCTTTCTCCCATGGAACTGCTGGTAGTATTGAACTGTTCTCCTTGAGGATGACAGCCCGACTCGTAACCACTACGCTACCAGAGCTCCAGCGTGTAAGTGACATTAAAATTACTATGCACAAAAATATGCCATAGATTCAATATGCAAACTAAAATGCAGAACTTTGTCAGCTTCTGAAACGTACACATTTTTTAACAAGCAGGTAGTACTGCATGGTTTCTAATACGGTGGTTTCTAAATTCTGCAGGTCCAATAAAAGGAGTCATGGCGTGGTGCTGTAGGATAAGCATTGGCAGTTCAAACCCACTAGCCTTGGAAACCCTATACAGTGTTGCTATGAGTCAGAACTAACTCAATGGCACAGCAATATAAGAAATATAATAAAAAAATCTCCCCTCAAAAGTCCACTTAAAAATGCTGAGTTCCCTACCAATACTGACAATTTTCTATATAAGTTTCTTCTTTAGATAAGCGCAATTTTCTTTTTGTTGTTAAGAAAAATCAAGATGTATCTTAGTTCATCTCATTACTTGTTGTTGTTGTTAGGTGCCATCGAATCGGTACCAACTGATAACGACCTTATGCACAGCAGAACGAAACACTGGGCCAACCTGACCCTGGGCCAACCGCACTACTGTTGCCATGTTTGAGTCCATAGATGCTGCCACTTGGCCAATCCATCTCGTTGGGGGTCTTCCTCTTTTTCTCTGACCCGCCACCTTACCAAACATGATATCTTTCTCCAGCGACTGGTTCCTCCTGACAATATGTCCAAAGCATGAGAGACGAAGTTTGGCCATCTTGGCCTCTCATTACTAGCATGCTAAAATTATTCTAGTTGGATAACTTGATATTTTAATTCTTAAATTCTGGTCCAACTTCAGAGTATTTTTCTCAAGTACAAGGGGGTTTTAAAATTCCATTATCATTTAATTCCATTTTTTCCATGAACTTTCTGAAACTCCACATACAGTTTTAAATCCAAATGAAATTACTTGTAATTTTTTTGAAGCATTTCCATGAAACCTATTTTGACTGTTACATTTTCTTTTTTTCATTCTTTAACAGTCTATAAAGAAGTCTGTAAATATTGTGCTAACTTTTATTTTTCTACCAAGACAAACCTTTCAAAATCCTTTTGAAAAGTTTTATTGTTTTTACAATGGTAGAGATGTACTCTCTGGAGACATCTATCCAACAATGTGGAGGCCACTGACATTTTCAGATTACCTTTTATTTTGCTTTTCATGTACTTATTCTCCTATTGTTGTTAGGTGCCCCAAGAATCTGTTCAGACTCATAGTGACCCTAAGTATAACAGAACGAAACACTGCTCAGTCCTTTGCCACCCTCACAATTGTTTAATTTCTTAGAAAGTTAATATATGGGTTGTACACTAAAGATGGACTCCTGGCGTGGTGCTGTAAGACTAAATACTGGACTGTGATCTAAAAGGTCAGCGGTTCAAACCCAATAGCTGCTCCTTGGAAACCCTGTACAGGGTTGCTATGAGTCGGAACTGACTCCACAGTACTTAACAACAACAAAACACTAAAGATGGTAATAGGAATTTGAACAGTAAAAGAAACAATGATAAGGTATTAAACTCCTCAGTGTTGTTGCTCAGTGCCATCAAGTTGCTCAGGACTCACAGTGATCCTGTATAGGGTTTCTATGGCTGCACATCTTTGTTGTTGTTGTTGGTAAGTGCCATCAAGTCGGTTCCGACCCATAGTGACCCTATGTAGGGTTTCCAAGAAACAGCTGGTGAGCTTGAACTGCCGACCCTACAGTTCAAACGACTTTGCAGTCTGGCACATTAACCCACAGTGCCACACCAGGAGTTCTACAGTAGTAAAAAACCTTTATCTTTCTCCCATATAGCGGATGGCGGGCTCAAATCTCTGACCCAGTGGCCAGAAGTCCAGTGCTTATCCTGTAACACCACTTTACTCCCAAAAGTCCTCAATAAGAGGCATTAAATGTAACTGACAGACAACTCTGCTTATTCCACCTAAGCTTCATTTCTCATTTCCAAACGTCTGACAGATACTTGGACACATGCCAGCATCTCTGCTGTGCTCAGTCACTGCAGCCCAGGGAGGCGAGGCTTCATGGTGGGCCAGAGGGGCAGAAGAGCTAAACCAGCATCTTAGGGCAGCCACACCATGGGGTCTGACACAGGTAATACTGTTAATGCATCCAAATGAAAGCACAGCAGTGAAAGTACCTCAAATTAAACTACTGTGTGACTTTCAATGCAGGAAATTCAACACATGAAAATCCGGATTTATATAAAGATGTTAGGGAAGGATTGTTGTTGTTGTTGTTGTCAGGTGCCATCGAGTTGGAACCGACTCATAGCGACCCCATGCACAGCAGAACGAAACAATGCTCGATCCTGGGCCAACCTCACCACCGCTGCCACTCCCGAGTCCATCAATGATGCCACCTGGCCGATCCATCTCATTGGAGGTCTTCCTCTTTTTCTCTGACCCTCCACCCTACCCAGCATGACATCCTTCTCCAACGATTGTTTCCTCCGGACTACATGTCCAAAGTAGGAGAGACGAAGCTTAGCCATCCTAGCCTCCAAGGAGCACTTTGGCTGCACTTCTTCCAAAACAGATCTATTGGTTCTTTTGGCAGTCCATGGCACCCTCAGTATTCTCCTCCAACACCACAACACAAAGGCATCAATTCTTCTACGATCCTCCTTATTCACTGTCCAGCTTTCGCATCCATATGAGGCTATTGAAAACACAATGGCCTGGGTCAGGCGCATCCTAGTCCTCAAGCTGACATCTCTGCTCTTCAACACTTTAAAAAGTTCCTGTGCAGCAGATTTGCCCAGTGCAATACATCGTCTGATCTCTTGACTGCTACTTCCGCGAGTGTTGATAGTTGATCCAAGAAGAATGAAGTCCTTGACAACTTCAATCTTTTCTCCATTGATAAGAATGTTGTTTATTGGTCCAGTGGTGAGGATTTTTGTTTTCTTGACATTGAGATGCAATCCATATGTAAGGTTGTGGTCTTTGATCTAAGTAAATGTTTCAAGTCCTCTTCACTTTCAGCGATCAAGGTTGTATCATCTGCATATCGCAGGTTGTTAATGAGTCTTCCTCCAATCCTGATGCCACGTTTTTCTTCATAGAACCCAGCTTCTCGTATTAGACTTTAACAAAAGGAATCACTACAGTAATCTTTGTCAAAGAAGAGGTAAGTATTTCAGGCTTTGTGGGTCATATAGTCTAGATCACAACTCTTTAACTGTGCTGTTGTGGAGGGAAAGCAGCCAGAACTCCATTACCATTGAGTCAATTCCAACTCACAGAGACCCTTTAGAGCAGAGCAGAACAGTCCTACCATACAGGGTTGCTATTAGTTGGAACTGACTCAATAGCACTTAACTACAACCCTCTACCACAGTACAAAATCATTAGAATTTGAACCTAACAATAAATTGAAATTAACCACATGCATGGCAGATTTTTACCCCCAACACTAATCACAGGTTAAACCAAGCTTACCTTCTTATAGATCTTAGGTTGCAAAACATTTCTGTACACCAACTTCCAGGCATCCATTAATCACTTAAAAGTAAAGCAGATAAAAGGGGTGGGGAGAGGGAGATGTGAATCACATGAACTTTTCTAATAATTTAGATAGTTAGCAAGGTATACTATGGTCTTCATGTCAATTGGCCAAGTGATTTTTAAGAGTTAAACATTTTTTATAACAGTTTTAGGTGTACAGAAAGTAACACAGAAAGAAGAGTTCCCATATGACTGTCTACTCACTGCACGAAGTTTCTATTTTAGTATCTTGCATTAGTGTTGACCAAAGAATTAAAAAAATCCCATGTGGCACAGTGGGTTAAGCATTGGGCTGCTAACCACAAGGTTGGTGGTTCAAAACCATCTAACCACTCATTGGGAAAAAGATGAGGCTGTCTGTTCCTGTAAAGATTTCATCTCAGAAACCTTTAGCAGCAGTTCCCTCTGTCCTGCCAGGTTACTATGAGTCAGAATCGATTTATCAGCAATGGGTTTGGTTTGGTTTTCCTTATAAGCAGTCCCTTAACAAAGTCTTGAATGTCACATTGTTGTTGTTGGCATTACCATCAAGTCGGTACTGACTCAAAGTGACCCTCTACACAACAGAATGAAACACTGCCCGGTCCTGGACCAACCTCACAATCGTTGCTACGTGTGAGCCCATAGATGCTGCCACTGTGCCAATCCATCTATCTCGTTGGGGGTCTTCCTCTTTTTCTCTGATCCCCCACTTTCTAGCCCGAGGGGCTCATCTTCTGGCACTCTTATGTGACAATATTCTGGTGCTCTTCATCATGTTTCAATACTCAATAATCTGGTGCTGACAGTGTTCCAATGCTATTCATAAGGTCTTCAGTGACTAAACATTCATAAGTAGTTCATCTCTCTTTCTTCCTAGTCTGTCTTCATCTGGATGCTCATCTGAAACCTCTCCACTGTGGGTGACTGTGGGTGACCTTGCTGGTATTTAAAATACCCATGGTATAGTTTCCAGAATCACAGCAACACACAAGTCACCACAGTAGGACAAACTGACAGATAAGTGGTGGTGAATGCCACATTATTCACACAATATTCCCTGGTAAACAAACTATCCCTTTCTTCTCCTTCCTACTTAACCTCCAAACTGTCTCTACTCTCCATTCCCTGCAGAAGTCAGTTGAACAGTATATTCTCTCAAAACAAAATACCACAGAGCTAAAGACTTATTGGAAATTTTTTTTTTTCTTCAGAATACAGTTAAAACTAGGGGGCTTCAGAGAGTTTGTGGGAAAATGGAATGAAAAAATGGAACTTTCCCACAAAATTTTTGAAGCCCCTTTGTAACAGTTGAACCAAAGTAATGTAATATAGCATACTTTTCAGTTTCAGAACGATGAAAATACATTATTTTTAAGAAGAATCATAAATGTCCGGGGCAGGGGGGAATACATTTTCAAATAATGTACACTTGAATTTTTTCTAGTTCTCTTAAAGAAAACTGGTTTTTCCCCTTGGAGTCCTGAGTCTTCTGAGCTTTTTATACACACAACTCAAAGTGATAGAGAGTGTAGTGTGTGCACTCATATCGAGATCTGGTTTTTGGAAATGACAAAAGGAAATGAGGAAAAGGAAAGAAAGAGAAGGAATAAAAGTCAGCCTTGAGGGTAGTGTTTCTCAAAGAGCAACAGCATCACTGGGAACTTCTTTCTGTTGTGGTTTTAGCAGCTGTCATGTTGCCTGACTCGTGGTGACCTCAAGCACAATGGAACAAGATGCTCAGGTGTGAGAACTAATGCTGCAGGGAGTATCCTGTCACCAAGAACGATGCTGACAGACATGTTAGGAAACTTGGAAGCTTAACTTATTGTAAAACAATCACTTGTTTAACACAAATTTAGGAGTCCTTGAAGAGCACAAATGGTAATGTGCTTGACAACTAGTCAAAAGATTATCGCTCTAATTCTGAATGATCAGATAGTTCTCAACTGCGCACAACCAAGAACCCAATTTTATCACTTCGGTCCGAAGACTCTGGGAAAACCAAATCAGTAGGGGTCTGATAACTAAAATGACAACCACTATTTGCTATGAGACAACCAGAAGATTCTCACAGCTGCTATTCCTTCCCTTATAGAGGCAGCTAACAGAAAACCAAATTACACTGAGCCAGTTGAAGCTATGTTGCTTCTTCAACAGAACAGAGTTGGGTGTTCTCAACTGCTAGGAAGCTTGGTGCTGCACTCACATCAAATGCAGGTTTCTTGTCTTAACATCACTGTGGTGATCCAACTTGGGAGGAAACTGATTCCTTAATTAATGTAATTCATTCAAAGGTATTTATTGAGAGAGTACTTGATGTGCCAGACCCTGTGCAAAACACTAGAAATAGAAAGACACTAAAGGACCTCTAGTAGTGTAGTGGTTAGGAATCAGGCTGCGAACTGCAAGATCCGCAGTTCGAAACTACCAGCTACTCCGTGGGAGAAAGATGAGGCTTTCTGTACCTGTAAACATTTACAGCCTCGGAAACCTTGTTCAGGGTCACTATGGGTCGGAACCGACTCGACGGCACTTAACAACAACAACAAAGACAACTCCAGCTCTCAGTAACTTAGTCTAGGAGAGAGGGAGGAGTTAAAAAAAAGACACAAGTAGGTCATTGGAAAACACTCCAGTAAGTGCAAGGATACAGTAAGTGCACAGAGTAGTATGGGAAATTCCCAGGCACTAAGAAGCTCTGGTAGCATAGTGGTTACCAGCTGGGCTGCTAACCTTAAGGTCAGCAGTTCAAAACTATCAGCAGTTCCGCGGGAGAAAGATGAGGCTTTCTGTTCCCGTAAAGATTTACAGCCTCAGAAACCCTGTGCAAGGTCACTATGAGTTGGAACTGACTCCACAGTACTTAACAAGAGTCCTGGTGTGGCACTGTGGGCTAATGCGCCAGACTGCAAAGCCGTTTAAACTGCAAGGTCGGCGGTTCAAGATCACCAGCTGCTCCTTGGAAACCCTATACAAGGTCAACAGCACTCAACAACAACAGCTAGTATGGGTACCACTTGAGAGTTCAGTCCAAAGGTATGCTGTCTTCCTTGGAAGAAGGCTGAATGTTGAGAAAGGACTGTAATTTGCTCATGAACCACTGAAAATGGCTACTTTAATCCATTTAGTGTTACCAATACTCAGTGGTGGTGGTTATGTGCTGTGGAGTGGGTTCCGACTGACAACTACCCTGGGGAGTGGCTGGTGGTTTTAAACTATCATCCTCAAGGCTAGCAGTCAAGTGCTAAATTAGCGAAATATCTAAATTAGCGAAAAATCCCAATTATGACCTATCTTAAGAAAAACTTATTCTGCTTAAATTACTTTCAAAGGATACAGAAACAGTGTTGCAAAGTACAGGTCCTAGGATTGATCTTTTGGCTATTTAGCAAAATTTTTATTTATAAGTAATTTCTTTTAACAGTTAAAAACCTCAAGTTACTGTGACGTTCCTTAGTAACTAACTTGTAAGGTTTGGAAAGCAGTTTGTCTTCGTTGCTTTTAACTGGCATGCTCCTTACACAAGGAAGAAAGGCAAAAGAGTAAAAGCAGAAAGTTGTTATAAGAAATAAGCTGAAAATAAATTGCAGAAAAATCTAATTTCCCAGATTGTGTAGCTTCTTTTCCTAAATCTTTTGCTAAGAGATTTTAATCACAACAATTTTGGAAAGTCTCTCCTGTCAATGATTTCGGGAAATAGTAAAATGAGAAACAATAAAACTTAAACTGTCTTTGGTATCTTACTTAAAAATGAGTTAAAATAGAAGCGATGCGGATACTCCGGCCCCGACACTGCCTCAGTTAGAAGTGACACGACCAGCTATGCAGACTCTGAGCCTCCCCCCAACCCTCCCTTTCCCCCTCAGAGGAGTCGGAAAGCACGATTGCAGCCTCTCCTTACAGTTCTGGTAAGGGTCCGACGCCAAGGTTCTCTCAGACCTGCTCCACGTCCCACCCTAAACCAGCTGGGAGCACCAATGCACTTCTCGCAGGGTTGTGCGGGAGCGCGCGTGGGGGCGCATGCGCAACGGCGCCGACCGGCCCAACAAGCGGGCACTGTAGTACAGGCCCGGCGCTTCCACTTGCCCTAACTTGACTTTGCTACAAGATCCTACTCTCAGTGCTCGCTGAACCTCAACCCCTGAAATCTCAGCAGGGGACGCTCTGCTTCATCACCCATCCATCCGGCGACCCCCTAGGGCGGAGGTGGGTCAGGGCGGAGGTGAGTCCGAGCAAGGGGGATGGGTCCGCAGATCTGAGCTCTCATTGGCTAAAGCGTGCCAGGCCTTTCTCCCTAAAGCGCCTGCGCGCGGCCAGAGCCGCGGATTAGAACCTGGGGTGGTATCCCTTCCCGCGCTGACGTCAGCGGACTGGTGACCGCTCCTCCTTCCCCGCGAGGTTTGAAGCCCCCTCCCCTCCGCGAGTTGTGTAGTTCCCGCCCCTCCCATTCTTACCAGTCGGCCCCAGAGGGGCTCAGTGTATTTGGCTGCACGGCTTGTTGCTCTGTGCTTGGAGACGTTCCCGACACATAGCGACCCTGTATAGTGTTTCCGAAGAGCAACTGGTGATTTTGAACCGCCGACCTTGCAGTTCAAACTGACCTTGAGGTCGAGGTTTATTTTATGGCGCCACACCAGGACTCCATACCGGGTTTGGGAGAAGCGAATGAGATTTCCGAGATAAAAGACTAGGCTGGAAGGAGTCGGAAAGTACCTCGAGGGTCGGCGGGGAACGGGGAATGAAGAGGAACCACACGATGGAGGACGCTAACACTCCCTACCCTAACCCCTGAACGACAGGGGATGAGGCCTTGTTATCCACACCAGGACTTAGCTGTTTTGTTCTTCATGTTCCATGGAGTCGGTACCGACTCATAGCACCTAGTACAGGGTTTCCGAGGCTGTAAATCTTTACGGGAGCAGAAAGCCTCATCTTTCTCCCGCGGAACAGCTGGTCGTTTCGAACTGCTGACTTTGCGGTT